GCGGGGGGGGGGGGGGGGGCTGGGGTGTTCCACGGTTTCCACATGGAGGGCCCCTTGCGTTTTCCGGGGATTTTTTGTTTTCGGCCCCTCCCCCCCCCCCTAGCATGGACGCTGCAGAGCTAGTATGGGGTAATCACCTCGTGTTCTCCCCACACGTGCTTTGGCATGTCACCAAAGTAGAGGGATTGTCTCAATCATTTCATGCCCTTCGCCTTCAAGATGTAGCGAAAAGCATAGAAGTGTCGTAGATCGGACACCGCCGGTCTTGGGAACATCGCTTTTTTTTCCTGGGGAAAGCTTGCGTTTAGGTTGTCCGGGTCCTCGTTTCAGCGCGAGACCAGTAGCACGTCGATTCGTTTTACGAAGCGAAACGTGGGCGAAGCCATCAGCAGCTGTTTATTGTTTGTTGGTTCGATTGCTGTTGGAGGGGGCTGTACTGTGTTTGCTCGACTAGATGCAAGAGTCACGGTCTCAACACGACCCACACCTACATTTTCACGCCCCTCAAAGGCCAACGGCTGTTGCTCCTTCGCCTTGGAAAGCTGCAGGCGAACACCTTGAAATAGTTTTTGTTTCGTTTCGGAATACCACACACTATTTCGCCCACTCACTGATTTCAACACATCCCTTCGACTATTATCTCGAACGGTTAGTCTTTCTGTGATTGTGTATTTTCTGAAGAGCCGTGTTCGGGGGCAGGCAACTGCTCTTGCGCTTCAAACAGCTCTCGCACGGACCTTCGAAGTTCGGAGATAGCGCCTACAAAAGTAAGAATACTTAACGAGGGACGCCTAGAATCCCCCCCCCCCCCCGAATGTGAAACGTGTCGTTAGCCGGGCTGTCCAATCAATCCATGGCATAAAACCGGGGTATCGCTCCGTCCCGGCATTCACGGATGCAAGCTCAATGATCTAACGACCACGGCATGCGTTTACATGAGTACCCCCGAAGTACTCGTTGGCACTCGGTCAATGGAGAGTTGCGGGGGATAAACCGAAGCCGTACGGATGTGCGAAAATTCATCGTTCAAAACACTGGGAGATGCTCAGCAGGAACCAAAGTACTCCAAGGAGAGCGGAAAGAAGAAACAAGGCACCCTGGCCGCTCTGACCCACCGGAAGCTTCCCATGTACCGCGGCAAAAGGCAGGAGTTGCACCCATTACCTCACATGCAGCACGGGATACACGGGCTGATAGTTTGGTCCCTGTCACTCGGCAAGAACAAAAATCGCCCGGGCGAACTTACAATATCATCGCGATGGCTGTGCTCTATTCTGTTTGCCGTGGGGGTTACGCATCGCTATGGTAGCTAATTGCTGCCGGTTCTATGTACCCTTCCAACCTTGGGTGCCCTCGATATGTAGTCTCACCCAACAATATTTTTTTGCTTCGAAACCTTTATTTGACCTGCAGTGATTTCGGGTGTCTTAAACAATGGCGTTAACTGCTGTTGTTCGTTACTCTGTTTTTCATCGCGTTGCGTTCTGCGAGCCCGCTTGGCTCTTAATCCTGCGAGAATCGGTGTGAATCCTTGTGAAAAGGAATGCCGGACGGCCTTGCCTTGACCTCCACGAAACTCGAAAAATTTGACGTGGAAACTTGTGTATCTGTTCCTCAAACGTCCTAGGCACTACCGCACCCCGTTCCTCTCCCCTTCCTTGTTGTTTTGCGATGATAGATGCGCGCGGATCACGTGAGATTGGAGAACGGACTGCACCGAGAACAACGACAACCGCTGACCGACCCCCCATGTCTCTCGTTTTTGCCCTCCCCCTCCCCCTTCCCTCTTTTTCGGAATCGTTACTCGGAAATGACGGCGACCAGGATCTCCGCGTTCCTGTGCGGCGTGGTGCCTTCGATCGGTTTCACCGACGAGGACCGTAAGAACTCGGTGTACTACCAACAGCGCATGCGCACGATGAAGTACGAAGACCATTAGTTGTAGGGTTCGCTCCTGCTTCTGGGTAGGCGGGTAGTGATAGTAGTGGAAAGGGAGACCCAATTTGGGGGGGGGGGGGGGGTAGGCAATGGAGGAATTGGCTTGGTCTTTCTTCCACGTCTTGGTCATTCTTTGATGATGGCGCAGCAGGAAGACGATACGATGCGAGTTTTTTTCCCATGTGCGTTGGAGAGGGGAAGCAAGAATCCATACGTTATTTCTTATTTGCGCCGGACGCAACAATCGTTCCCCTTACACCTCCCGGCCAACACGAGGGGAGTAAGTAGTTTTGGAGTGGTGTGGCGGAGCGGCCCCCTCCAGTTTTGTAAGCTTAACGATATGACTTTGGCGCGGATGGCAGTCTGGGGGACTCCTACGAGGCGCTATTGCATCGCGAAAATCCCGGGGCACATGAAAGGTGGCACCCACCAATCACACCCACCCGTGGTGCGTGAGCACTGCTTGTCTCATCGCCGGGATTTTGCGCGAAGCTTGGCTTGGCTTTCGGCTCGGGCCTCAAGTGTGGTGCGTCGCAGGGCGTCGACCTGGTGTTTCAGCGTGAGCGGTGCTGATAATACAGTCGGGGGCGTTTTTCGCATATCAGTTTTCTTGGCGGCGGGGTCTTTCATCAGGGACAGGGCGAATGTTGCAGATGCCGTCTGCACGGCGAGTCTCACGTATTTTCATCAGGGACGGGGCGAATCTGTCAGAAGATGCCGTCTGTACGGCGGTGTCTACCATCGTGCTGCCTATCTATCTGTGCGTTACTGCTGGACAACATGGTCGGCCGCGAGTGGACAAAGCTGTTGCGCTTGTCCCGAAGCACGGGATACCGAACTGCCACCACCGCCGCACGCGGTATTCAAATCCGGCGGCGAATCCGAGAAGCAGTAAACGGCCTTGGGCTAACAAGAGTGAGGGAAAGTCGTTTCCTGCGCACCCCGCAGTATCTGTCCGTCTCTTGGCACCCCGTACGTGGTGACTGGACGGACGTCCAGCCAGCACCTTGAACATGTGCTTCCCACCATACATGGTTGTTTTGGTGTTCGATCCAACCACAACCAAGCACCCCAGTTCTTGGTGATTATTTACGGCGCCCGGAAATCTGCCCTTGAGGGCGCAGGAGCCAACCCGCCTGCCCCGATTTATGCAGTCTAGTCTACACCTCGTTTTTTCTGTTCTCCCGAGTTCCGGGTCATCCTTCTCTCACGTCTTGAACGATGGGCGCTTTCAGGCCTCCTTCATACGTTGCTGTTGGTAACAATTGGCCCTCTGACACGTAGTTCCAAGCATCGTTGTCTACTCCTCGGGAGCGAGGCATAATATTGCTCGGTCGGGCGGTCATGGGCTCGAGGCGAATGATATTCTCTCCTGTCATTTTATGCCGCCGGCCACACACAAACATACAGCTCTCAACAAAGCCCTCTCGAAGTGTTTCAAAGGACGCACTAAGCAGATGTACGGCTGCTGCTGCCGTTGCGTGATTATTTTTCTCTTCACACCCCGAAAGCTTCTGACCACCAGTCTCTTCAGGTCCAGCGTACCAGATACCAGTACAATACGAGTACATAGTCAACGGCCGGTACTGTATACTAGAGTGAGTTACGAAGTTATATAGTCCTCAACAACAGCAGGTTTTGTGGCGTTTGTTGATGTAATTTTCAAGAAATTTGAATCCTGTCGTCCTCCGCAGCATGTTCCACAGAACGATGGCACCTTATTCTTAAGCAGAAAGCTCCGCATTCAGCAACCCACGAAAAATTGCACGAGCCCTCGCACGCAAGCCGTGAAGTCGTTCAGCCGGAAGTGCACGAGCGTGTAAGAACAATGGAGAAGCACGGAAAAGTAATTTTGAACGGACCACGAGCAACACACCGAAGGGCGCCCGCAGATAGGACTGTTTCTTTTTGCTCGAGAGCACACAAGGGCTCTGCGAGTGGACAAAATGTGCGGCCACAGCCCGTGATCGTTGGCTGGCTCACGCGCTACGGCAAGGCCAGCAGAGTAATGAGATCGTGAAAAGGGAAGCACCACAACGGAAGGTGAGTGGGCGGCTGGCTAGGCGTGTGGGTTTGCGGCTGGAAGGAGAGAGAGAGAGGGAGAGAGGGGCAGGGAGAAAAAAGGGGGCGTGTGATTTTGCCATTGACGCGAGGAGGGAGAGAGCGGCTCGTCACAGGTCACGAGACAGCTGATAGCACCACGTCAATCTAGGCCCGGGTTCACCGCGGGAGAGGCCTGGTGCTCCTCGAGGCGAGCGGGTGATTTGGCCGGGCTGCCTCCGTGGAGCCAGTTCGGATTGAGCATCGGTCGTCGGACAACGTGCATGCTTTTTATTCTTGGCTCTCTTTATCTCCCGCTTCTCGATTTGCTCATTGGAAGCAAGTGTTTAGCACGTGGCATTATGTCGAAAGAGACAGCAGCAGGGGTCAACCTACTCATGTGCTTACTGTTACACATGTTCTTCTTTCTGCCTCTGGTGTGCGCGTATTGCTGAGGATGACTTTGTCTCTCTCCATCCACCTGCAGTGCGACAAACCGCCGCCGATCCTCTTGTTCCTTGAATCTCTTTCTCCTGTGCACCACACTGTCCGTCCCTTGTTTCAAAAGAACCAGCATCGGCAAGCAGGAGCCGGCCCATGCCCCGCCGCCGCCGCCGCTACATAGCTAGCTCTCGGCAGCAGCAGTTGGTCTGGATAAAGCGAGCACAGGATTGGTATGACGAGGCACAATGCGGTCGGAGAGAGCACGGCGCCGGCTGGAGCACCACCGGTAGCAGCAGCAGCAGGAGGAGCGGGAGCGGACAGCAGTAACGGCGCTGGCGGAACAGCGGGTATCAGCTTGGCGAAGACGCAACAGCCACCGCGGCATCAACCACCCACAGCAGTCTCGAGCAGGCCACCAGCAGATGGCATGGCCGAAAGCTACGCTGCTGCACCGCCGGGGGTAGTCAGCTGGCCTGCCACACCGGCGGTGGCTGCAGCGGCGGCGGCAGCGGCGGCAGCGGCGGCGGCTTCCGCTGCCTCAGCAGCGGCTGCAGCCGCCCCTACGGCCAGCCAACCAGCAGCAGCCGGTGAGGCCGTGGGGAACGGCGGCTACGGAGGCAGACAAGCCGACGGGGTGGGCACGGTTACGGCGATGATGCCGCCATCATCATCACCCCCCCCCCCCCCACCCCGTCCAGCCAGTAACGACGAGCCGCTGGGGACCACGCGGTCATCCGGCCCCAGCACCGGCGGCGGCGATGGCGGAGCGGCCCCGAACGGCCCCGTCCCGCCCGAAGACCCGAGCCCGCTCCCACGCTCCGGGGCCCGGCAGCAGCCTGTCTCCCTCCCACGGGCCATCGATGTCCCTCCCCCCAACAGCGACGGTGTCGAACGGAACCAGCAGTAGCGATAAGAACGCCGCAGGGAAACCCTCCGGCGACGGCAGCAGCGGTCGTTCGCAGATGCTGCGGGTCCAAGTTCGCCCTAAACCTCGTCTTCCAGCTACTCCTCCGGCCGAGGCAGAGATCACGGCGGCAGCGGCGCCGGCGGCGGCACCCGTGGCGAACGGCGGGGGGGGTGGTAGGTTAGCGGGGGCGGCGGGCGGAACGGCAACGAGATCCGGAGCTGGCCGGTTGCGACGGGCGGCGGACGCGGGTGCTGATGGGTCGGGCGCGGAGGGGCAGCAGGGTGAATCCCTCCGAGACATCCAGTCACGCCTACAGCAGGTCAGTCGGGGAGAGCGGAGGTCAGCACAAGGCCATTCGATACCTGGTGTATCGCGATCGAGAACCTCGACTTGTCGTGGAGTCTATCGGGGTGGCCGCTAGGCTGGGTACACCGGTCGTCTGTGTTCGCTGGCGTTTTGAGCTGTTCTCGAACCCTGCGCGTGTAGCCGTTGGGGGGCTCATGCGTCTGCTGTACCGGACGTTCGAATCGAAATGCTTGCCAGGGTTGCTCGATAGTACCGTCTCGAGGGTCCGTCTTCATTGAGGTTGTTTGACAAGGCGGTGCTGCCGAATCTCGAATCTAGTCGCCCCGTGGTTTGCTGCGTGTGTTACGCTCTTGTTGCACCACTCTCTGGTTTCTTCCGCAGCATGGCCCACTCGTTTCCGACATGTGCACACGTGTCCTCTGCGTCACTCGTTTCGTTGCGCGTCAAAAGCCCTGGCCCCGTTGCTCAAAGGAGCAAGCGAACACCGTGTGCCTTCTTTCGCTGCGCATGCCACACGTACTCTGCTGCGGATCGTGTACTTTACCAGCATCGTGTATACGTAGTCGCCCACGGTGTAGACAGCTTACCCCCATACGTTTCGAATTCCGCGCGAACCGGGTGTGTGTTGCCTGGTGATGAAACTTCATCCATGCTCAGGTGGACACTCTCTCTGCCAAGATCGACACTGCCATGATGGCAGCGGAGGACCGGTTACCGGCGGTCGGAGGGATGGCGTTGACGAGGGATGTTGACTGTCGTCGTCGTCGGGTGCCGGTGAGCAGCAGCAGCAGCAGCAGCAGCAGCAGCACATTTTGTTATGCCTCCCAAAAGTTTTGCAGGGCGGCGACGTTTTGGTGTTTCGTTTCTTGACGGCGTGTGTGTGGGGTCGCATGACCGCTTGAGGTTCAGGTTGGGACGTGCGGCAGGCAGGGTAGATAGCGAGTTGACTCGTTCTTTTGAGGGGGAGGGGACGAGCAAAGGGTTTCGCTTCACATGGGGCGTTTTTTGTTTCTTGTACGGACTCCAATCGTCTGTTGATGCTGCTCGCACGACGACTTTTTTCCTTCCTCTCCGTACGCCCCCCACCGCCACCAACACCAACACCAACACCAACCTCACGAACGCCATGTTTAACACAGACGGCACGCCTTCAGCAGCACTTGACGGATGTCCAGCGCCACTCCCGCCAGCGCGGAGTCAGAAAAAGCGACTCCCGGCCACCAGAAGACCAACAAAACAACGCGGCTACCGCCGCCGCCGCCGGTGCGTCAGCGGCACCGGCGGCTCCCAATCCTTCCGCCACCAGATCGGTCGACCGAAAATCGGGGGGTGGAGGTGGTAGACAGGGCGGCGGGGGCAGGAATAGCGAAGGCGGTGCTGGGAGCAGTAGCCGAAAACGGAAGGTACCAGAAAATGGCACCGTTGGTGCTGCCGCCGCGGGTGCTTCGGCCGGCAACGCCAGGGGTGTGAACCCACCTTCCGGATCGGGTAGTGGCAGCAGCATTGGTACCGGCATCGCTAGCATCAAGAGCACCGCTGCTGCTCAGGCGGGAGCGCGCAGAATAAACGGGACCCAGCATCACCAGGCAAGCTCCGCCGCCGCCGCCGCCGCCGCCGCCACCGCCACCGCCGCCGCTGCCGTTTTGGGCGGTGTCCCGGCGGCGGCACCGACGGCAGGAGCGGTAGCGGTAACAGCAGTGGCAGTGCCTTCTTCTGTCGGGGCAGCAGACGCTGTGGCACCCTTGAATGCCAGCGAACGGCAGCAGCAGCAGCAGCTGCAAGAGGAACGGCAGCGTGAGACAATCGAGGCAGCGGCTGCCGCTGGCGGTGGTGCGAGTGGCAGCAGTCCCTCCACCGCCTCTCATGGCGGCGGTCGGGGGGGTCGTGCGGGGGCTAGGTCCAGCAGCGGCAGCGGCGGGGGGGGCTCGTGTTCTAAAAGAGATACGCCGGAGAGTCTGAGGGCGGCAGCGGCGACGGCGGCAGAGACGGCTACGGCGGCGATGATTCATGAACGGGTGCGTGTTGGCGGAGGAGACAGTAGAGAAGGGGCGGGGGCGGTGGGAGGAGGGGGGGTAGGTTCCTGTTGCTGGGGTTGTGTGTTTTTTACCTACCGCTGTGGTGCACAAGATGTGGGCATAGCGATGCCGCCCGCATCATTGCGTTTTGTCACACGCACGAAGACAGGAGTATGGGTCCTTCTATTTCGTTATTTTTGGGTGCGCTGGCGGCAGATCGTCGATATTTGCAGCTGGATATTTGTGCATCGCAATATTTGCACCTGGATATTTGTGCATCGCACTCCCAAACGGCCACACAACACACCATAGCCTTTTAAAGCAGAATTTGTCATGTCATCAACATTTGTACATCGAACTCTGAAACTGCCACACAACACAACAAAACCTGTTGCAGAATATTATGGAGCGTCAGCATCGATTCTGTCGCTCTTTTCCCAACGAAAACATCAACGCAGGTTAAGAAGCGAGAGGACTCAAAGGGGACTGCGATGGCAGGGGCGGCTGCTGGTGCGGTGCAGGCGAAGGCGGAGGTGGCTAGGACATGGGAGGAGTGTGTCGACGAGGGAGAAGCATTCGTGACGGCGATGCTGGCAAGCGTCGTGCGAAGCTTAGCGGAAGGTCCTAAAACAGAGACCGAGCTGGATCAGGTAGACACACGCACATCGTTGTTGTTTTTTCGTGCATTGGGGGGCTTTTTTGTTGTTGTTTTTTGTCGCGCAAGAGTACCGCGACTTTCTTTCGTGTCCCCTTCTCGTGCTGATCCCATTAGTCGGGAGGTAATCCGCATGCCTGTGAGAATGCATTGGTACCGCTGTTTCTACTATGGTTGGATCAGATACCACACGCCCTGGACCGACTTTACTTCACGACGGGGAGGACACATAATTCCAAAGGTGCTTCTTCGGAAAACAATGGGCGAGAGGTTCCAACGCCGCCATCGTCGGTACCGCCACTCAGCCTGCTGTGGAGTAATCGGACTTTGAAAATCGGTCCGGGGTGTTGCGTTATCTTGTGTCACCTACATACAGGTAGTTGGCTTGCTTGGCTGGTTGGCTTGGCGGCAGAAACGAAACCATCATTGCCTCAACGCGCATGTTGTCTGCTGTTACCTACGTTACCCCACTTGCTTTGACCTGCTTGACAACAGCAACGAAATCACCGTTGCCTTACGCGCTCCCCCCCAACCCCCCCCTGCTTCGTCTTCT